ATAATAATTTAGTTTCAAAAGTTTAAAAATTAAAAAAATTATTAAATTGAAAATAATTAGTGGATGACTTTGTCACATAAAGAAGAATAGTATTAGATATTTACAATTAAATCAAGTGATTAATTCAATTTAAAAAAGAAATTTGTCTAAGATTAAAAAAAAATTTTGGTTGTATGCTTCTAGTTCCTTAAACTTTTTATTTTAGTTAAGAAATTTTCTTTACTCTCAATTAGAATTCTTTTTCTAGGTTGAATTATTAGCTCAATTTGATTATAAATATCTAATACTATTATAGTGTATATGAGAAAGTTATTTGCTAATTCTTTTTAATTGACTAATTTTTTTAATTTTTGATAACTAAATTGTTACATTTTTAATTTTTGAGAACTGATTTTGTAAATATTTTATTTTCGCTTTAACATAAAGTTAATGGATTTTGTTAGTTTAGAGGTTAAAATCTTCAAACTTTTAAATTTAAGGGTTAAAACTTTATAATATAAAGTGAGGGCCTAACAGTTTTAAACTTAAGAAAGTAAGAGGCTAAATGCATACTTTAGCCAAAATTAAGCACAAAAGGGCCCGGGCTGCCCAAAAAAGCAGGCTGGGCCATTCTTTTGTTTCCTAATATTCAAGAAGAAATCAAGTGCAAGTAGGATATTTAAACGTACTGATGATAGGCTAGCTATCAAAGGGGCCCAATATTACATGGGCCACACAAACAATCACAAGTGGATTTTTAGCGGCCCGGTCTTATCCCATAGTGGATCATGACGTAAATTGCATTTTTATTTTTCTAATCATTTTTATTTGTCCTAATCACATTTTAATATCTCCTTAATGACTATCTTAATGAATGAAAATGGGAAAAAATAAAATAAAAGAAAAACATTAAGAAAAAAGAAGCAAAGGAAAGAAAATGAGTGTCACGGCGTTTCGTTTGATTTTGATGTCTAGTCACTCAAGTGAAACAAAACAAACAAGACTAGTGGAGAATCTCTCTAGAAGCAATAGGAATGGTTATATCATATCTAATTAATGGGGGGAAGATTCTTCAACTAATCACAAGTTCATGGAACCATTTTAATCAAATTTGTTGTGTTTTACATTTATGTAATAATTAGATAAGAGAAAATCAATTGAGTTGAGTTAAATTTTTATTATTTTTTGTTCAAATGATTATGTTTAGGTTTGGGTTTCTGCTTGATTTATACTTTGGTTTGAGCTTATATCATTGTGTCGAAACTTGATTAAAGCTCAAAAATTTTCATCAGGTTTATATTATGGTAATCTTTTTAACCTATAAATTTAATTATTTATTTTAATCCACAAATAAGTGTGCTATTGCACAATTTTGAACTCCTTAATTGCCTCATTCTAGAATAATGATTCTATAACTAGGTGATATATTATTTTTTTTTTAAAGGAACACATTAAACATTGCTATTGTATGATTAATGGCCTAATTCATGAACTTTTAAACTAAACAACTCTAAATCTGAGCTGGAGTTTAAGAAGATAA